GGGATGGGAGGATCCGGGGGGGCGGGGCCCGACACGGGAGGGAGGGGGATGGGAGGACGCGGGGGGGGCGGGGCCCGACCCGGGAGGGCGGGGGGATGGGAGGACCCGGGGGGCGGGGCCCGACCCGGGAGGGGGAGGACATGGGGCGGGGCCTGACAGAGGGGTGGGGAGGATACCGGGGGTGGGACAGGACACGGGGGCTCCGGGCAGACCCTAGCCCCGCCCCCTCGCTGCACTCGGCTGCGGCAGTTTAACGGCCACTCTAGCTCCTGTCCCCATTTTCCCGCCTTTCCCCCTCCCCCGGCCTTTCTGCGCAAGCGCGGCCCCAAACCTGCCCTGGTAACAGCGGGCGGAGACGTTGCTCGCGGGCCACGCCCCCTCCACGGGCCCCGCGCCAATCACAATGCGCTTTCCGTCAAAGGCCGCCAAACCCGCCTGGCTCCCTTTAGCCACGCCCACCCGGAACTACCGCAGCCTCCCCCCAGAGCCGTTACTTGAGCCGGTTCATCCCTGCCCCGCCCCCTGGGCCTCGTCCAATCCGGTGTCACTGCTCCTTACACCACGCCCCTGCCAATTGGTCCCACGGCCTTTACAACTCTCCAATCAGAAACTCGTCCCCCCTGTAACTAGCGCAGCCTCCTGCGGCACCTCCTTTTGCGCATGCGTACTGTCCCCTGTCGCGCGCCTACTTTGAGCCCTCTCCCCCATGGCGGATTTTGCCTTTCCACTACGCATGCGCCACGCTTTTCCCCGATTGCAGCCCCCATTACGCGTGCGTCACTCCTCCAACGGCCCTGTACGCGCAAGTTCCCTCCGTGACAGTTTGGCGCATGCGCCCCTTTACTTCCTGCGCACTCCCAGGCTGGCGCATGCGTCCTACTCTCCCGTGGGGTCCCGGGGGAGCCCCTCCTACCGCGCATGCGCGCCCCAGGCCCGCTGCCCTGGTTCCGGTTTGGCTCGCCTTGGGCGCCATCTTGGATTTGGGGAGAAGCCGCGAGCGGGCGGGAGGAGGGGCGGGCGGCCGAGGCGGGCGCGGCGGAGAGAGCGGGGAGGGGGGCCGGACCGAGCCAGGCCCCCACCCCCCGGAGCCCCATAGGGGCCCCTGGAGAGCCCCCGCCCCCCTATAGAGCCCCCTATAGACCTCCCCCTGGAGCGCCCCCGCCCCTATAGGCCTCCCCTAGAGCGCCCCCGCCCTACTAGAGCCCCCTATAGATTCCCCCGCCCCTATAGAGCCCCCTATACGACCTCCCCTGGGGGAGCCCCCCTATAGAGCCCCCTATAGACCTCCCCTAGAGCGCCCCCGCCCCCTATAGACCCCCCGGCCCATAGAGCCCCCTTCCCGAGAGCGATCCCCTGCCTGTGTAGGACCCTATCGATATTTATTCCCCCCCCCCCGCGCCTGTAGAGTCTCACTCCCCTATTTCCCCTGGTCCCCCCCATTTAACCCCGGTCCCTGTCAGGCTCCTGCCCCCCCGTAGGATCCATACCCTGAGAGGGGGGAGGCTCCTGCACCCTCCAAAAGGACTCCCCACCTCCCACAGGATCCACATCTGGGGGGAAGGGGGGCTGGACACCTCCAAGCCCCCCACCCCCTGTAGGGTGCATAGACCCCCGTGAAGGGGGGAGGGGGCTGAGGAGCCCCTACAGACTCCGCTTCCCCCCATAAACAGCAGCAGTGAGGGGAGCTGGGTTTAGACCCCATAGGACCCCCCCATCCCTATAGAGTCAAGCACGTGCCCCCCTGTGTGGGGTTGGAGGAGGCCGCTGGGGGTGCTGCCCCCCACCTCAATACTCTGGAGCTGGAGCCACAAGGGAGAAAGCGCCGCCAACTGCTGGTGAGACACCCCCACATCTCGGAGGACATGGGGGAGTGGGGCTGGGGCAGCAGGGTCAGGCTGGGCAGTGGGGTCATGGGGAAGGGCTGGGGGGCAGCGGGGTTGGGTGGGGAGAAAGACGGAGGGAGGGAGGTCATGGGGGGGCGGGGGGCTTGGGTTGGGGGTCATGCGGACAAAGGGCCAGGTTGGAGGCTGAGGTGCAAGGGTGGGAGCTGCAGGCTGCTACGTCTTTGAGGATGCTACTGGCAGGGATGGGCTGGTCCAGCATGGGGCAGTGGCGGCGTGGGGGGGCAGGGTTGTGCTGGCCTAGCGCAGGGCAGTGGGGCTATGGGGTGGGGGGCAGGGGCGGACTGGGAGGATGGACTGGCCCGGCACAGGGCAGTGGGGTGGGGGGCAGGGGCAGGGACAGGCTCTCAGGCCGAGGTGGGCTCTGTGCCTTTCCCTGCTATGCCGTGGGTCTGCCCCACAGAGGAAGGGGCTGGGGCTGATGAGAGGGGGGATGGGACACGGGGCCGTTCTGTTCTGGAGCCAGGGACAGAACCCAGGCGTCCTGGCTCTGGGGGGGCTGGGAAGGGCCATGCTGACGGGGGGTCACTGGAGCCGTGGCTGAGCGCTGGGGGGAAAGTAGGGAACAATGGCCGGATTTCCCCTGCGCCCACATCGGCCCCTGCCTCCTTTCAGCCCCAGGCTCAGCCTGGCTCCCCATTCCCTGCTCCCCCGGGGCCAGCCCCGGGTCAGAGCCAGCACCCCCCAGAGGGGCAGGGCCCCACGTCCCATTCCCTGAGCCGGCCTAGCATCTGTTTTTGGAGGGCTGGGTGTGACCCCCTCCCAACCTGTGTGACTCCAGACATGAGCCCCCGTCAGTTCTGTTCCCATCCCCTCAGTCCCTGGCCCGTCACACGGTGGGGTCGGGAACTCGGGGAAACAAGTGCCGCCCCCAGCCTGACACCCCAAACCTGTCAGGCAGCTGCTGTCTGTCTGGAGTGTGGCTAGGTTGTTGGGGGGAGGAGGGGGGCTAGGAGCCAGGACTCCTTGGGTCTCTCGGAGGGGAGCGGGGGGCTGGGGTGACATGTGGCGTATCCCTTGCAGGAGGGGAGCGGGGCGCCAGGGCAGCCCCCCCGCCACGGCCATGCCGTCCAACGCCCGGGCCGGCAGCCTCAAGGACCCCGAGGTGGCCGAGCTCTTCTTCAAGGACGACCCCGAGAAGCTGTTTGTGGATCTGCGGGAGATCGGCCATGGCAGCTTTGGGGCCGTCTACTTCGTGAGTGGCTACGGGCCCTGCCCCTCGGGCTGCCCGGGCTTCCCTGGGCCCTATTCCTGCCCTGCCCCATCACTGCTCCTGACACTGCCCCCTTCCCTGGTGCCGGCTCCTTCCCTGACCCCGCCCCCTCAGTGCTTCTGACACTGCCCCCTTCCCTGACCCCGCCCCCTCACCGCTCCTGGTACCGCCCCCTTCCCTGACCCCGCCCCCTCACCGCTCCTGGCACCAGCCCCTTCCCTGGCACCGCCCCTCACTGCTCCTGGTACCGCCCCTTCCCTGACCCCTTACCACTCCTGGCACCAGCCCCTTGCCTGGCACCGCCCCTCACTGCTCCTGGTACCGCCCCCTTCCCTGACCCTGACCCCTTACCGCTCCTGGCACTGGCCTCTTCCCTGGCCCCGCCCCCTCACCACTCCTGACTCCACCCCCTTCCCTGCCCCTTCCTCTTTTCTGCGCCCCTGCTCCTCCCTCCCCCCCCCGCCTCTGTTCTCCATGGGGTCCCTCCCCTCACCCCAGGCTGGCTGCTGGGAGGATCTCTCCCCTGTGGGGCTCCCCCTGGCCTGCCCGCTCTGACCCCCCTCTGCTCGACAGGCACGTGACATGCGCAACAATGAGGTGGTGGCCATCAAGAAGATGTCGTACAGCGGGAAGCAATCCAATGAGGTGAGCGCCCAGCTCTTGAGGGGGGGATAGAACCAAGGAGCCCTGGCTCCCAGCCCTTCCCCCGTTCTGACCCCCCGCCCGAGCTGGGATAGAACCCAGGCGTCCGGGCTCCCAGCCCCCCGCCCGAGCTGGGATAGAACCCAGGCGTCCGGGCTCCCAGTACCCCCTCCCCCTGAGCTGGGATAGAACCCAGGCGTCCAGGCTCCCAGCCCCCCCTCCCGAGCTGGGATAGAACCCAGGCGTCCGGGCTGCCAGCCCCTCCTCCCCCCGAGCTGGGCTAGGCCCCGGCGTCCGGGCGCCCCCGAGCTGGGCAGAACCCTGGCATCCGGGCGCCCCTAGCGCGTGTGCTCTCTCAGAAATGGCAGGACATCATTAAGGAGGTGAAGTTCCTGCAGAAGCTGCGACACCCCAACACCATCGAGTACAAGGGCTGCTACCTGCGGGAGCACACGGCCTGGGTGAGTGGGGCGGGGCGGGGGGGGGGCGGGGTGTCACGTGCCCCCCCACGCTCATCCCTCTTGTCCCCCCACAGCTGGTGATGGAGTACTGCCTGGGCTCCGCCTCTGACCTGCTGGAGGGTGAGTGCCGGGGCGCGGGGCTGTGTGGGGGTGCGGGGGGCTGGACCCCAGCGGAGGCTGCTCTGACCCCTCCCTCTGCCCCCAGTGCACAAGAAGCCGCTGCAGGAGGTGGAGATCGCGGCCATCACGCACGGGGCGCTGCAGGGGCTGGCGTACCTGCACTGCCACAACATGATCCACAGGTACCCCCTGTCCTCCCCCCGTCTGCCCCCCCCCGTCTCCCCCCGCCCCTCTGTCTGCCCCCCCCCGCCCTCCCC